ACCTAGAAGATTTACAGTGTATCTCTCATCTACAGATTTAGTAATAAGACCTAGAAGATTTACAGTGTATCTCTCATCTACAGATTTAGTAATAAGTCCTAGAAGATTTACAGTGTATCTCTCATCTACAGATTTCAATAATGTACTGAAAAATTAGTGACTTGTTTTTTAAATGAGCATCTGAAGTAGTAATTAAAGAAATGAAATACGACATCTTTTGACATTAATTTTAAATATATTCCTTATCGAACAAATGTAAAACGATTAATTATGTTAAATTTTATCTTTTCCTATCTTCACTTACCAGAATGGAGTATGAATTGTTATGTTTTAGTGACATATTAAGGTAAGTAAAAGCTTCCCGTATAATAAGCTCATAGATTCAGAAACGTTTCTCTTGTACATATTATGTAGGACTGTTGCGTTTTTATTTTGTAACAAGACATTTAAATGTTTTATTTGATTCTATATACATGAAATGATCTCGTAATGTTGTTATTTCAAGACTAGATGATACATGTATATTTTGTACACCTACACAGAAAGTGTGAGCGTATCGGTGTGATCATATTGGAAACCTTTTCTTTAACAATTTTTTAATAGTTTTATTGTCATTCGTGTGTTGTAACGTTCACAATGTTTAAATTAACAATAAATAATTTAATACACTAGCTTGTGATTTACTAGAACAATTTAATAAAACATAAGATAAATAAAGTAAACAAACCGAGGTTTACCGTTCTCTTGAGGATGACTGGGTGACTCAGTTGGAACGTAGAGGGATTATTTAAATCTAACCATTCGATTTTATATTTCATTAAATTGTTTTAGTAGCTCACACACTTGTGCATTAAAACTGTTGTTTAACCACTAAGCAGTACTACAATGATTTTACACATTTCAACTGACCGTCACAAGGTGTTACAGATTCCGTGCTTTTAACCCTAAAGTCTTGATGACTCATCAGTCAGAGCAGGTTATGTTTTCTGCTGTGTTTTCTCCTGACGTGGAGACAATTTTTTCATCTTCATGTTGGGGAATTTAAGATGTTGAACAAAGATTCAATATGAACTCAAAACCATGAGATGAAAGACAGTAAGGTTTGTAAAAAATACTGAAAAACTGCCTAAATATGTCTAAACTGTCAGTTACAAGTTCAGGCAGCATTCAAGACTTCTGGAAAATTAAAATATTTACACAGGAGATAAATCTCAATATAAAAGGTTTAAAGTCTTATCGTATGTAAGATGTGTCCGTTCCCAGCTTTAACTGAATTGTACAAGCTAACAGTTGCTAAAGTCATCATATAGTTTGGTTTATGTAAATTTTTCTATTTTTTTTTTAAAAGCAAACCCACATTGGGCTATCTGCTATGTTCACCACGGGGGAATTGAACCTCGGATTTTAGTGTTGTCAGTCCACAAGCTTACCGCTGTCCCACTTGGGGGGGGGACTTCTATAAATTGATTTGTACCAACAATCTCATTTTTGGAATTTTTATGTGTTAATTGTAAATTTTGTGTTTTTCTTCATATTTGTAGGAGAAACAGGAAACCTCTGGTGTATAGTGAAGATTTAAGTCTTTAGGCTGTTTATTGTCAATTTCACCGTTAATTTAAATTAATGTATGTAAACATAAATTTTCATATCCCTGAATTGCTTGCCGTCTCAACTTATCATCTATTTGTAATTTTTCTGTGTTTTGTTACTGCAGTTATTAAAAAACATTGTCTGTGTAACTAGTATACCCATCAAGTGGAAGAACCATCATTGCCAGTCATCATGAAGAAGCAGGAGAATCGTTTAGCAAGGTGGTACTTTGGGGGGATGGCTAGTGCAGGAGCTGCCTGCTGTACTCACCCTCTTGATCTGCTTAAGGTAAGTACTGTGAAGAGGGACTGACTTGCCTCAAACTGTATATAAATAACGTTGTATCCTTCATTTTTGTATGTTTGTGTAGTACTCCAAGGTTTGGGTTTGTTGAGCAAACATTTAAAACACCCCCTGGATCTGCTTAAGGTAAGTACTATGAAGAGGGACTGACTTGCCTCAAACTGTATATAAATAACGTTGTATCCTTCATTTTGTATAGTTGTGTAGTACTCCAAGGTTTGGGTTTGTTGAGCAAACATTTAAAAAATTTCATGTTTCGAAAACATGTTCATACTAGTAAATGTTGTTGTAACTTTAAACTTGAAATTGGTACAGTTTGAAAACAAAATCATAACTTTCATTTAATAGTTTTGTTTTGAGTTTACTTACTGATTAAATATATTTTATTACAAGTTACAGTAATTATGATTTGTTTTTAGAATAAGTACAACGTTTTGATCATTGATGGGATCATGAAACTGATCGCACAAGTGATCGAAACGTTGTACTTGTTCTAAAAACAAATCATACTTACTGTAAAAGCTGTAACTTCTAATAAAATATGACTTTCATTTGTTCAAATCTAACAAAAATTAGATTTTTTCTCTTTCAACATCTCTGAAATTGAAAACAATTGGCTAATGCTTTGGGTATATCATAAAGTTGCTTATATCCATTAGGTTTGCATATACATCTAACAATCTGATTTTTATGTTGAACAGATGTAGTTAAATTTTGTGATCACTGTTTGTTAAACGTGTGATTAATTTCTGTTTGTTTTATTGTGATGATGTTAAACGTGTGATTAATTCCTGTTTATGTTTTATTATAAATCATAAACAGGAATTAATCCCACGTTTAACATCATCACAATAAAACATAAACAGGAATTAATCCCACGTTTAACATCATCACTATAAAACATAAACAGGAATTAATCACACATTTAACAACATCACAGTGATGATCTTAAACGTGTGATTAATTCCTGTTTATGTTTTATAGTGATGATGTTAAACGTGTGATTAATTCCTGTTTATGTTTTATAGTGATGATGTTAAACGTGTGATTAATTCCTGTTTATGTTTTATAGTGATGATGTTAAACGTGTGATTAATTCCTGTTTATGCTTTATTGTGATGATGTTAAACGTGTGATTAATTCCTGTTTATATTTGATTGTGATGATGTTAAACATGTGATTAATTCCTGTTTGTTTTATTGTGATGGTGTTAAACGTGTGATTAATTCCTGTTTATGTTTTATTGTGATAATGTCAAACGTGTGATTAATTCCTGTTTATGTTTTATTGTGATGATGTTAAACGTGGGATTAATTCCCGTTTATGTTTTATTGTGATGATGTTAAACGTGGGATTAATTCCTGTTTATGTTTTATTGTAATGTTGTTAAACGTGTGATTAATTCCTGTTTATGTT